AAAAAAAAGTATTTCTACAGTTCAGTCTACGGTGTTTTTTTCGTATTCATTCGTTTAATCCTACCGCATTTATTGCAATAGTCGCCGTACATGGTACAATCCTCATGTAGCCATTTTTTACACATTACACATTGTATCCAATCTGCAGTTGATTTGGTCTTTTTATATTCTTCAAAGCATTCTTTGCATTCCGAATCCTTGTGTGCCTCTGACTCAGATTCATCCGAATTATTTGAGATCGATATTTCATCACTCGACTCCTTGTGTTCTATTCGTCTTTTCTTATAAGTTTTAGTTGGAACTTTACTCTGATTCTTAGCTTGAGATCTCTGTTTTTTTTATGCAAATCAATTTCACTTACTCTCGCCTGGTCGAAATCTGAATCAGATTCATTAGAAATATCCGAGATGGTCGTCTCATCACTAGATTCTCTAATGCCTTTTCTTTTCTTAATACATTTGGCTGGAATCTTTTTTGGAAACTTGACTGCAGTTCGTAACACTTTCTTCTGTACATCAGCTTTAGCTGTTTGGCATTTATTTTTACAACGTATTCCTGGAGTAGCTTTACCTTTAACTTTAGATTTCTTCGCTTCAATATTTTCTTTAGTGTTTAAAATTGCAGCTGATTGTTTTCCTCTCTTATGAAATGGAACCGGGACAATTGGCACCGGCGAAGATTCTTGCAAATATTTGCTTGGTGTTTCTAGTTCCTCAATGTTGATAATATTATTATTCTGTGACAGAATTGATGGGCTTGAATTAGAAAATCTCCTATCTGGTCGATCCGTATTACAAGGAGAAACGTTGGATAGATTTAGATCACTTCCCAGAGTTTGTACATTAGATGGAACTGGTTCCTGCTCAAGAGCTTCTTCAGTTCTATTAAAAATATCCATATAATTAGGAGTAACGTTGGAAAGAACTCGATCAACTACAGGGCTTGATCTACTAGATGAAACTTGTTCCGGTTCTGGTGCATCATTTTCACCTGCATTGTCTTCTGTAGGCCTTTGATTACTCAAAGAAATGTCAGATATTGCAAAAAAGCTCTCTGGAACTGCAGAGGGATTGAAAGGGTAAATACCACAAGCCCTAAATCCCGAAATCGCATTAGAACTCGTGGCTGCTCGTGTCCACGCATTCCCAATAAGTTTTCCTGCAACTAATCGATTAATCTTTCGTTCCTTGTGTGACACTACCCAATTTCGTGTTTCAGCAGCAAAGAATGTTTTAAAAGGCTTAAAAAAACTGCGATCCAGTGGTTGCAGCGCTTGAGTGGTGTGGCTGGGTAGGCAAAATAAAATTATATCATTTTCTTCGGCAGTTTGAAGCATATCTATTGCATTCGTATGAGAAGAATGACCATCCAGAATCAAAATAATCTTTCCTATTGGTTTTTTAGGTACCAGATGTTCTTTTAGCCACTTGTGAAATAATTCAGCATTCACGTACGCGGATTTTCTGTTCATATAGACTTCTGATCCCGGTGGGAGCCCATCCTGAAATTCTGGTTTCTTGTTTACTCCCTTGATGATGACTACTGGGGGAAGAAAGTTCCCTACAGCATTGCAGCATGCTATTACCGATAAAGTTTCACCTTTTTCACCAGAAGTTACAGAATGGACTACTCTTGCGCCTCTTGTGGCAATGACTTTTCCAGTAGAGTTATTTAACTGGACACCTGTCTCATCTACGATGTAAATTCTATCCGGTTTATTCAGTAAGTCATGCTCAGTCATTACCTTAAGCAGTAGTTCAAACATTTTGTTGACTTCATCTCGATTCAATCCCTGTGCTCTTGCAACTGATAAGCCTTCTGCTTGACGAATACTTAACTCTGTATTACGTTCTAAAAATGATCTTAACCAATGCGGCCCAGCCTTTCGAGTCTCTTGATTAAAATTGGTTTCTTTACCCAGTTTTTCAGCAAACTCGAAGGCTAATCTTCGAATCATGTCACGGGTTGGAGGGAAACCAGCTTTTTCTAATTTCTGTATATGACTCACCAAACGTTTTTCGTTTTCAAAATCAAGAAGTGGGTGTTTTCCTATAAAAAAAAAAAACAAAAAATGTTAGGAATAATACGTTTTTTTTTACTTAACAAGAACTTAGGTCATGCTATTACAACTTTATTACCTAATGTCAGTTTTTCCGTATTTTTGTTAGCGAATCTTCGCCTCAATGTTCTTGAGGGAATCCCATATCTACGAGATATTTCGTTAATTCCTAGAATGCCTCTCGAAATTTCGTCCATTGCAGCTATTAATGCCTCTTGCGTCCATTCAGCTCGTGACCGAACTCCAACCTTTCTAATATATTTGCGAGGCATGTCTGAAAAGAAGAAATGGGAACATATTAGGTATGCAAACATCAACTTAGTCCATAGGGGATGGATGCCCCTAAGGGCATCTATACTCACAAAATACGAGGCGTCTATCCTTTTAAATAGGGATAGTTGCCCTAATTAAAATAAAAAATTCCCTTTTAAAAAATGACAAAATGCTACACTGACAGTAATATTCAAACTATACACTTGCAAATAATAATAAAATAATATAACTTACCTTTGAAAATGAAAAGTTCCACGCGTTTTTAAAATATCAACATTCGTAATCCGCGATCTTTGTGAGCGAGCCCGTCGATCTTTCTTCATGTACACGCAACACGTCCGATCACAGCGGTTGCCGCTCGCACACTAGCGGGGTGGGGGGTGTTCTTTCCTTATAAGTATTAACTGCGCGCATAGAACGTTTGCAAGTCGTAACTTGAATTTTGGGGCATCAATCCTCCTAGGGCAACTATCCCACTTTTACCCTAAAGATAAAACGAGCTCTTAAACAATAATAGCCTGAGAGCTAAATAAATGTTAAGAGTATTTGAATGAAATTACTAACAATAATGAATGTACCCTCATAATATCGAGAGCTACGCAGACTACGCAGACTACGCAGTACTCAGAATACTTAGATAAACACCGTTTTATACGAACATTTATTTCAAGGATATTTCACAGTAATTGTCTTTAAAAATTCAAGAACGCTTTAATTTATCACATTAAATTACTCTAAGAACTCTACTTAATGACCATCTAAATTAGTACTCTATCGCAATGTTCATAAAGACTGAAATAAGTTTAAGTGGAACTGTGGGGTGGGCCTAGTTTCTACTTGGGAGTTAGACCTTTGTCGCACGTCTTGGATGCCTTAGTTAAACAGGGTGAAACTCCCAGTAGGGTCTAGACTTTGAATAGGCCACCATTGTTGGCTAAAATTATTTAGGTCTGAATTAAAGTAGCCTTTGTAAGTCCAAGTCCTCGCATTACGGGCTTTGGAGTAATTACATATAATGACGGCGGCCGCGTCGTAGCGGTCACAGGCCTGCTTGTACACCTTACAGAGGATTACTCATGCTTATAATAAACGGGATTTATTTATTTTTATTCCTTTTAGCACTTTCTTGGATCGAAAGAAAGAAAAATCTCACTAATGTTATTAAAAAACTTTGTTATAGAAGAACTTTCTTATAATAATATGTACATAATACCGCGTCATTTCATATGAAAGTTATGAGACGTCGTTTCGCTACACACATAAAGAAAACTACAGATCTACATAATCGTAAAATACCTACATTATTGTTCGTTATGATCTTTTACTTCACTCAATTTTTCTGGTTCAGAAACAATTTCATAAGCTGCAGAGTAAAGAGTAGATGGCCGAGATACTAAAGCCGCAGCGTCTGTTAGCTACAACAAACAACAACACGCCCCGTGGCAGATGGTAAGCCTATCACAAAACCACAATTCTCTTTCGCTCGCCTGGTGTAAATTCCACACATCGTCTACGCACTTACCTACTATATTCTTTATCGTTATTAGACAATTTTACATTTTATCATTAACACAATAACAACAACATAATAATTCTTTTATAAAATAACAAAACATAAAAACATAACATCACGCCTTTTTATCCCCGAAGAGGTAGACCGAGGTGCACATTTCGGCACTTAATGCCACTGTACAATGTAGCACCCATTTTTTATTATTTATGTTATGCGTCCCATGTAATAGGGGGTGAACCTATTGCCATATACTGGGCACATTTCCAGGCTCCGTGCTACCACTGAAATTTTTAAAAACCCAGTAATACTTAATCCGACCCGGGAATCGAACCCAAGACCCCTTGCTCGGTAGTCGCACTTGCGACCACTCAGCCAAAGGGGTAGTCTTTTAATAAAATATGTTAGAAAAAGCCGGCCTCAACCCCCTCTTTTTCTGGAGTCAGTTAATCTATATACTAAAGCCTTTTCCTAAGTATAACAAACACTTTTCTGAAAACCACATCTAAAGTTCAGCCAATCACGAGATAATCTGACACATACATACAAACATACATACATACAGACCCACATACGCACACACAGATCAAATTAAGAAATTCCGTTTTAAAAGTCGGTTAATAATTCAATTTTGACAATTAAATGCTTATTGGAGTCGAATCAGATCCCTTTCTCAGGTCGAAATCTGCACGTACTACATATATCCCTACTTCAATCTCCTTAGCGAAATATAAATGCTGTAATATGTCGTTGTCGTTATCCTATTACAATCATTGTATAAGCATTACAGTACTCAACTACGATTGATATAAACAAACCCAAGCTAGCATTTATTGATCAAGATTAGGAAAAAGATGAGTTCGAAGAAAATATGTATAATACAGATAATAGCCATCATTATTGTATTTGGCAAGCAGAAATCCAGTATTCCAATAATAGGAATATTGATTAGTAATGACATTTCTATTATATTCTTCCTTTCTATGGTTAATTTATTCATCCTATGGTTAATGTATCCATTCTATGATTAAATACGCCATAATAAATATTGGACAAACTATATTTTTATAATAACTATCGTGAGACATACTAAATTAACTAAGATCGCGGTTCACCCACGTGAATATACTGAGAAAGCTTTACCAGTTTCGAACCACAGAGGGGTTGTTCGCGTCGACGTCGACGTCGACGTCGCAGCGACCGCGCGCGCTGCTCATGAGGAAGAACCCTTCTGTGGTTCGAAACTAATAGAGCTTTTCTCAGTATATTCACGTGGGTGAACCGCGATTTCAGTTAATTGTACAAACTATTTTTTTTATGAATTCCATTTTAGTTTCCATAAGATGTGAGCTTTGATGCTATTAAATTATCTATTTATCTATTTCATTTAATCTATTTAAATTATCATATCCCGAACTAAATGTCCAATTCAATGATCTTACTGAGAACTCAATAAGAAATCCATCATAACATATAGTAAGCAACTACGCAATTGAAGAGCAGCTACTGAAATTATTACTGAAAGGCTACTCAATTGTTAGTTTTACTTCAATATCGTGCTATCTCTGTCATTTTACAAACAATTTGTAGTGATAGAACTATGGTTAATCGCGACCTAAAATTAAGTGGCATTTGAGTATTTGGACATTAGACAAGTAAAACTAGAATACCCAAATACTAAAGCGGTTGTACACGGAGATGAATATCGGCTATCAAATAAAAGTGAAGCTAGTCATGCGAACAAACAATGTGACGATAAAGTTGAATAGAAACAGAATAGCAAACATATTGTTGACTTTCATACTTCTAGAGTTGCCGAGCTATTTGCTTTAGCTTGTACTGTAAACATTCGTGTTATGTAAGTTGTGTTCTGTGTACTATGTTATTATCATGTTGGGTCTGCTTTGAATGTAACCGAAAATTGTGGTAATAGGTTCTGTTGTGATTGTTCACAGGGTCTTGTAATGTGTGCCAAATGGTCTATGAAAATCTACTTGAGCAACAAAAGCAATTATTTCTTTGGAGATTAAAAAATATAATACCAGAAAAACTTTTGTAAGTTAACTAAGAATGTTATAGTAGAATTGATTTAGATAAACGTTAAAGATGATGTACAGAAAATAACTATCTCAAGAACTAATGATAACAGCAACTATTCCACCAAGTACGACTCAAAAGTCTCTATCAATATTAACGAATACAATCTCCATACATAATAAGCAATGGGAACAAGAAACGGACATGCTTATGCTAATTTTAAGGTAACTTTTATTTTGTTGAGAACGGAAAAAGAATGTTAATTTTGTTCCGGTGGACTGTATTATCGCAATATGGCGAGTAAGTCGGAGATTTTAATTTAATGGACTTGAATGGTTTCTTATTTTGAACAGTAGGAAAAGCTTGCGGTGTTACAGTTTTTGTGAAGAAGTCTTATTTAGAAATGGCGAAGCGTCTTCTCTGCGTCTTAAATTGATTCTAAAGTATGCAGAGTCTTTGAAATTTCTAACGAACGTTAGAACTTCGGCTCGCACAATTTATCAATCGAACCTCTGTTCAGTTTCACCATACAATTTTCAGTTAATGTATTTCAAAGACAGTTTGAAACAACGTTTAACTAGAAACAATATATTTCCAAACTCAACACGCACGATGTGGTTTGTCACCTCCAATCTACTCGCACGTGGCACACATAACTATCCTGTCATTTTCCCCCGTCATTTGCCACTCCTGTCATTTAGCTCCCCTGTCATTTGCCAAGTCGTTATCAGCAAACCACAACCGTATCTCGCCTTCACCAAGCCGTGAAGGAGGCGGTCGGCAAAAATTGAGTAATTTACAAGGTCCTACCGGTGTCTCGGAAGACCCCAAATAGGCTTTTAGGAAAAAGGGTGAGCGTTTAATGGCGTGTTAATTTGGGGACCCGAGTGAGTTTCGCCCTGATAAGTGTGTGACAGTGTGTTCATTAGACTGGATGCTCTATACCTACCTACAGCTCCATGATGACGAAGCTGCGGGTCTGTGACGGAATTTTGTAAGGAATAGCTCTCGGCCTTACATTTAGAATATTCTCCCTTAGATACAGCGAAAATTCTCGCTGAATTAATTCACTGAGCACAAATATGTGTGTCTATCATTTTTGTTTCGTTTTCGTAAAAGGAATCCTATAAAAATGTTTGTGCCCAAGTTGTGAGTCACTCAAAGTGTAATTTATAAGTTTTTGAAGATGAAACACAAACGCTAAAAACTCATGTTTTGCCCTGAGGACAATCGCAGAAACTTTCTAATTTATTCTGTTTGATTTAATACTCTACTAAAACAAGTGAACACAAAATAAGATACACAAGAGAAAGTAAGTACTTCGCCTATTTGTCAAGAACGATACATTACTAAAAATAGGAGCTTATAAGGTTCCATTCTTTATACATAAAATATGAGATTAAAGGCTAAGGAATTGGTATTATCACCGTATTATATGTGAAACTCCTACAATATCAAGGCATAAATCTTACTGGTAAATAATACATAATGTAAACTATAATACATAAGTTATACAAGCTAATCTACACAAAGCTAGGGCAACGCAATGTCACTCACTCAACTATTGTTTTGCTTACATAAGTATATATTGTTATAATGGACCTTATTTATTAGTATTAACGTTTTATATTTGAAGTAATACTATTTTACGCAGGCACATAATAATTAATACCTAATAATATTCACATTAACGTGCATTATTCCTTTTTCTTTTCACGTGGTTAGATACAGTTCCAAAATTGCTATAACACTTCTCAAATTATTTTTTAATGTAACTCTAGTAAAAGTTACTAAAGAAATATTAATAGTTCAAAATAATTGACATTCTTTTTTTATAATTGATGGGCCGACGACGTTGGACCACTATCTCGCCTGGTGGTAAGCGTTGATGTAAATATTACTGGCTAATAAAAAAAATTCAGTAGTAGCACGGAATTTGGAATTGTGCACGGTATATTGTAATATGCTCACCCCCTGTTACATGGGACTCCTAACATAAATAGTGAAAATTAGGTGTTAGAATGTGCAGTGGCATAATAAAAGGCGCGATGTTATGTTATGTTGATGTCGCAATTGCTTAATTGAGTGGTCGCAATTGTACCACTGCCAAATTAAGCGTCTCAGGTTCTATTTGAAGATTCGGAAAATTGGGTTTATATTGTTTTTATAATACACAGCAATTCGTATAGGATCAGAAATTGTGCCCGGTATAATAATTTGTGCCTTATTACTTTAGATTAATAATTATTTAAGTGGCAAAAATGTATGTCCCATTTTACATTATGCGTCTTTACCTACCCTTTCAGGAAATAAATTTGCTTGTAGAACTCACGGTAGCAATATAAATATTATAGTACGGAAACTTTAAGGATATATCGCGCATTTTATATATTTATTACAAAGGCAGCATCGTTCTTTGACACATTTTTATATGTATGTGAAATAAAGCGTATTTTCCCCAGTTTTAACATATGTTTCAATGTATTTCTTTGTATTTTATATTCAAAGACATTTAATAATTTTATGAAATAATAGAACAATAATTTTCAATTGAATTAAAATATGTTTTATGAGATTTGAAAAAAAATTGTGGACCTAAGAGCAACCCCTGAGGAACAACATAAGAAATCAGGCAGTTACCAAACAATTACAAATAATAATAAAAAAGACGACGTAAGTAATTATTTAGGTTATGACAAAGTCTTATTAAACCTCTTTAGTCGAAAATTTCGAACCATTTTTTTAACTAATATCTGTTAATAGTAATACGTTGTTTTGCGTATCACTGTACGTCTGAAATATGAATACTTTCTATAGCCAATGTCGATGCCCGAACGAAGTAAATGCTTTTGAAATTCACTATTGAAAACTTTGAAATGTGTGTGCACATAATATTTTATATTTTGTATGTAACATTGAATTATTCTGTCTTTTTTAAACTTTGAACAAAAATATAAAGTGCCATGGTATATGTATGTATATTGGTAGATCTTAAATAAATAATAATTATCAGTCATCATCAACCAAACCTCCAAATAATTAATAACCGCCATAAGCCTGCCACCAAATAATTTAAAACTATGTGTTTAAAATTCTACTTTAACTAAAACTATCTTAAACATTTTTAATTCATTACTTATTAAACATTAATTATTATGTTTTTGGTTTACCAGTAGCAGCACGACAGTCACCACATCGCGTATCGCGGAATGCTGCTCATGAATCATCTCTAAAATGGCTTGAAACTAGTCGAGTTCCTCATCAAACAGTTACATGAGAAAACATAGTAATTAATTTAGTGTCTGTCACGAAAGTTTTAATATAAACATTACAAAACATAATAAAATTTTTAAATGGTCTGCAGTCTTCCAAAATCCTCATTATGTTTTCGATTAACAAACCAAGGAAAAAATAAACTCCTAGTTTCCTCAACACGATCCTCATGATAATTTTCACGTGAAAACTGCTATCTATTCACCTTAGACCCTTGCTTGTACCCTTTACGATACCTATGGGAAGGGACGGGTTCGACTATCCTAGCCAAGAGGATAAACAAAACATAAATTTTGAAATAAACTAATGACTAAAACAAATTAGAATTACCCATAAAAATAAACTTACGACGTGCATGAAGTAGCCTAATGTATAACATTTAACATAAGGATATGTCCTAACCAGAACGAAGCTTTCTTTATTAAACAACTCTGGATACTACAGGATAACGCATGTAGATATATTCCTAAAATAATTTAACGTAAATAAATAAGTATACATTTTAAGATACGTGACTTGACTGTACATTTCAAAAAGGCTAAGAGCCAACCCCATAAAATTCCTATGAAAAAAATAAGAAACATTTAGAAATTAAGACAAAAAAATAACTATAACTATGTCGTTCGATCGTTTGTGCTGTCAATCACCAGATCATATCGGAAATAATGCCAAAGTGATTATTTTGCAGGCATCATAATTATGAATATCTAAGAAGATAAGGACAAATTGAAATCTTTTCCTAAATCAAATTACAGTTACACCCATCCGTACATTCGAAGAACATATTGTATTAATTAAAAGTTAACCCTTCACAAACGACATACGTGATTTCATACTAAACCTATAGACCTTTTCCGTGTCATGATTGTGTACAACTTGACGTTGGAAGGCAAAGGGTTGTTGAGATCGTATCAGATACCGCGCGTTTGTCTGTCAGCCCTATACGTGACAGCCCTGCCATGTACGAACGTGTTTATTTACACATTTAACGTGCGCCCCAAATGTAAGAAAGGTCGACAAATATTTCCTCTTATACAATCAAATGATCGTACGTTCAAATGATCACACATATCAACCATTTATGCGAAAAAAATAGTTTTTTTTTAATAGTTCTCAAGTATTTTTTGCGAGAGACCCAGAATAATACAGTTCATAAATATAAATTAAAAAAGCATTACATTTATTTAAGTACCTATAAAACGATACTAAAACCTAAAAAGCTATAAAATGATAATTTTGTACGTGTTTACAACTCACCTTTTAAAACATTGGGAAAAAATATTAACAAGTCCACTTTATTTTTCTGAAGTAATTTTATCATACACAACACATGTGGTCAAGTCAGAAAGTGTTCGCACAACCGCATTCGAAATACGATGACCGGCGCGACGAAGGGAGTCAAAACGCCCACCCCCGGTGACATCCAGCGGCGTACTGCAGAATAAATAGGGTTGGGAACGTATGTAACATCCCGCATCAGAGATAGCACGCATGCGCGGGACGGCCACCGAAACGGGATGTCAGCTGACGGGCGGTAACTAAGGTCACTGTGTCACTGTGGGACGGATTCTTTTTGAAATAGCACTTAAGGATATAAAGAGCCCTAACCATTGAGGTGCGCGGAAACACACCGACCGCGAACATTAAATAAACTTACGAACGAGTTGTGTGTCGTTGTCAACAATTTTACGTATGAATCTATCAGGTTAGTGAAAATACGAGGACGCTTGTGAAATATTAAGGAAAGACGAAATTTGCTTATATTGTAACTAATACTTAATTGTAAAAATTAACCAGAATATTGTATGGAAAATCCTTTTAAAACATGAATGAAACCAAAAAAGTAGGTGAGATTTTTGAACTTTATTTCTGTCACTTAACCTTGTATTAAACCAAGAATGTTCTTTGTATTGGAAAAGAAACGTTCTGGAAAATTTCCATAAAAAATATACTGTTCTAATTAAGTACCTAGCCTAAACAATAAGATGAAAATTTCTGGCATGTTCTCCAATGTAATCCGCGACTAAGAACTACCTAATTAATTTCACTAAACATCGACAATTTGTTTTGACTACAATTTTGTTTATCTACAAAAGATTTTTAACGAGAAGTTTTCTACATCACACCCTTTTCAAAGAAAAGAGGATTCGCGTAAAATCATCGAGTTGTGGTTGTAATAGATACTCTACTACTTCGAAATATCAGTTACCTACATCAGACCTACTTGATATACGATCTAAGAAGACAGAGCGAGTATGTCTATACTATTAGTTAGTGATGGGCGATAGAAGCGTTATCGAGTTTCTAAGACCCCGCGGCAATGGATTCAGACTTGAAGGTCAGACTTACTTCTCATTACACAGAACATTACCTATATTTGCTGTGTGGGCGAAGATTTTGTTACAACAAATATATTTTCTTATTAAATATTAAACACAAATATCTTGGAAAAAACAGTGATTACTTAGTAGGTACCGCAAATCCGAAAATAACTCAGCAGAAGTAAATTAGATTTTACAGGAAATTTTTTGGCTATTGTTTTTTCTCTAAATTTGATTTAATGTCTGTTGTACAACTAAGCACTAATTAAACATTTTGATACAAGAAAATTTGGAGTAATCTCAATAACTACCTAGGTACTACTAAATACTTTCTTAGAAATCCACTTTGAAGTAAAAATAGTAGGAAAATTTATTGAATACATTAAAGGTTGAAACTGCCTCGTTGGCCGAGTGATCGCAAGTGCGACTGACGGGCAAGAGATCTCGAGTTCGATTCCCGGGTCGGGAAAAGTGTTACTGGGTTTTTTTTTAATTTCAGCAGTAGCACGGAGTCTGGAATTGTGCCCGGTATATGGCAATAGGCTCACCCCCTATTACATGGGACTCATAAGATAAATAGTGAAAAGCGGGTGTTACATTGTACAGTGGCATAATGTGCACCTCTGCCTACCCCTTCGGGGATAAAAGGCGTGATGTTATGTTATGTATATGATTACAACAACCCTAAATACCGAATACTTAAAAATAATTTATTTACTTATTACTAAAAGGTACAGGTTTATCTGAGACTGTAGCTGACTGATCTCTATCTTATGTCTAAATCCTTGATAAGCTCTTACAACGCTTCTTGTAAAAAAATAAAAAAAAACATCATGCCTTTTATCCCAAAGGGGTAGGCAGAGGTACATGGCGCTTACTGCCACTCTACAGTGTAACACCCACTTTTCACCATTTGTGTAGGGAGTGAACCTATTGGCGTATACTGGGCACAATTCCAGACTCCATGAGACTACTGAGATTTTTTTTAAAAACCTTGTAATACGGTAGTACCCTATAATACTTTGCCCGACAACCCGAGACACCTTGGCCTACAGTCGCACTTGCGACCATTCGGCCAACGAACCGACTTACTTGCAGACTTATTTCCTTAATATTTATGATTTTGATTTCAAGAGATGTGAGACTAAGCGGACGTGCTTATTGTTGTTATTATAATGAGTCGTTCTTAATTATAAATATTAATTAGTAAAAACTTTTGCACACTTGCAAAAATAAAGTGTGTCGCGTGAAGTAAAGTGTTTGCGAATAACTTTATGTTGCATCTCTGTACACTGTGCAATATGAACTAAGTACTTTTAAAAAGTTATAAATTGTGTTAGTATGTCTAACCCAGGACAAAGCCCTTTTGGGCGTAGCCAATTATTACGACGTAGTCCACCGCCGACGCCATCACCATCTGAACAGCACCACCAGAAAGACCCAGAGCCGTCAGCGTCCACTGAGCCTGTAGTAGAATTGATTTCTACGCCGGAGATCCAGAAATGGCTGACTTCTATTGACGCTTTTATGTCGGAAGTTTGCGGTATTGTCGCAGAAGGAAAAATGAATAACGACCAGAAACTCCGTGTCACAAATTTATGCCGTAAAGTCTCTCATGGGACATCGCAGATAGCGGTACTTTACCAGTCCCTGAAGCAGAAAACAATCCAAGCCCATGTTACCATCCAGCAATTACAAGGACAACAGGAAATTGCAAATTCCCTCCAAGAACTAAAAAAAGTTGTAGAAGCTGAACGTAAGTCAGACTGCACTTCCTATGCCAACATGGTAAAAAAAGGAGAGGACAAATTCATACGGCCAGCCAATCTCAGCTCCATTGCTATCTACCCTAATGATAAGACGCAGACCAGTGACGCAACCAAGAGCCTAGTGCAGAAAATTATCTCCCCTGAAGAGATGAAACTTCGTGTCCGCGGGTTGAAGAAAATTAGAAACGGAGGCGTTATTATCAGTGCGGATAGCAAAGGCGATATAGAGAAGCTGAAAACATCAGAAAAACTAGTTTCCTCAGGCCTCAAAGTCGAAGAACCTACTAAACGCCGACCACGTATTGCTGTCATTGGTGTCCCTGTAGCCCTCACTGAATCAGATGTCATGGAGTGCATCTATGAACAGAATCTCTCCGACAAATTGCCGAATACTACCCGTGCGTCCTTTTTAAATGATATTAGACTAAGCCACAAGTCTGGTAAGAAAGATCGTCCTACGTGTAATTATATTATAGAAGTTCCAGCGATAATCAGGAAATTGCTGATTAATCAAGGCCGTATCTTTATAAATTGGACATCATGCCCCGTAAAAGATTTTACAATAGTGACCAGATGTTTCAACTGCCAACAGTTTGGTCATGCAGCCAAGTTTTGCCGCGAAACAAGCCCTACGTGCAACCACTGTGGGGAGATGGGACATTCTTTTAAAGAATGTAACAATAAATCTTCCCCTTCCCAATGTGCAACCTGCAGGCGGTTCAAGCGGAAGTGTGACCATCCAACTGGTGATGTGAACTGCCCGGCACGCAAATATGCAGAAGACAGTTATATTCACACAATAGACTATGAAGGCGCCTAAGAGCGCCACCTATTTTATTTGTAAGTAGCACATAAACAGTAGTCTTAATTTCTATTTTTATCTTAACTTAATTACATCCTAACGATATGACTAATAATCTCCTAAGCGATATTGATAATTTTTCCGTATCTGAATCGATTGTCTGTAATGTTGAAAACTGCAAAAATTTTATTCCTACTAGTGATAAGTTACTAACTTTCCTAACTCAAAATATTCGTAGTATAAGTCGGAATTTTAATGGGTTTGAAGTACTATTACAGAACCTTGATATTAGCTGTGACGTCATTGTACTTACAGAATGCTGGTTATGTAAACAAACAGATAATTTGCCAATGCTGAAGGGTTATACTTTGTATAAAACTGCAATGAATATCAACCAAAATGATGGTCTGGTTGTATACATTAAAAATACCCTTACAGTATCAGTGCACGAACCCTTGTTTCAAGGCTGTAATAGTCTTTTAATTAAAATTAACCAAGATACAATAGTTTTAGCTGTATATAGGCCACCATCTCAAAATGTAGATATATTTATAGAATCGCTTAGTACTATTTTAGAACAACTTTCATGTTATAGTAATATTATACTGTTAGGTGACATAAACATAAATATTGCTTCTGGGAAAACTAACACTCATGCGCATAACTACCTGAATATCTGTACATTCCACGGACTATTGCCAGCCCATGATCACCCTACACACCAGAGTGGTTCATGCTTAGATCACATAATTATAAAATCTAAATTGCCCTCTAAAACTTACATTACTAATTCATCGCTTACAGATCACCACGCAATATTGCTAACTCTACAAATTTCATTACCTAGAAAAAACTGCATGCGTAGCATAACAAAACTAAATATGTTAGCACTTGAAAATGACATACGCGGCTTAAACCTTGACCCTGTTTACTGTTCCAATGATCCAAATATTAGTCTGCAGTATTTTATTGATTCATTACAAAAAATTATTAATAAGAATACTTCTAATAAAATTCTACCTAGAAAATACTGCAATATTAAGCCGTGGATTACACCCGGCCTGGTCCGTTGCATTCGACATAGGGATAAACTACACCAAAAACTACGACTCGCACCGGATAACGAGATACTTTCTGTTACTTATAAACGGTACAGGAATTTCTGCAATAATCTGTTGAAAAAATTAAAAACCCAATACGACAAAGTTCAAATACAAAAAGCTGGTAAGAATAGTAAACTCATTTGGGAAGTTGTTAAAAATAATACTTTTAGATCAAAGAAATCAGACTCTGCTCTAGAACTTTTAGAAACTGATACAACCCCAATTCTAGCGGCAAATAAAGTGAACAAATATTTTGTTGATATTGGTAAAAATCTAGCTGAAAAAGCTCTATACAGAAATTCCTTTTCGCAAAGTACAACTATGTCACTTACTACCTTAGGTTCGTTTGTGTTACTCGACACTGACGTTAAAGAAATAGTTAGTATTATAGATGGATTAAAGGACTCTTGTGCTGTTGGGTGGGA